TCATTGTGAAACTAGTTTCGAAACTTATCAAAACTAAACAATTTCAAAACTCCTTAGTTTTGGTGACCATCACTAGTCTAAATCCACTAATTTTTCAGGTGTTTCCCCATTGGATTTTTCTTGAACTATAGATCTATACTGGTTTGATATCTCACTATTTTCAACCGATTTGGTAAAAGTAGGAATTTGATCTGGAATTGAGGCATCACTATTCTGTATTGTAGTTACGCAATTTACTTCTAATTTATTCTTCACCTTATGCATAGTTACCGGAATAATATAATCCTTACCATTGAAAGGGATCTTTAACTCATCTTTAGCCCAGTCAATAGCACATTTGTATTTCTTTAAGAGCGGATTCGAAAATATTAATGTTGGTTTATGGTGTTTTACAACTACAAAATCTTCATATATAGTGAATCCTGGAGGAAATGTTATTGGTAAATTACGGGCAATCCCAATAGATTCAGTTGGAACAGTAGCAACACCACCGAGGTCATATTTTTCTGATTTATCAATTGTTCCACCTACACGTTTAACAATATTTTTTGATATGATTGCAGGTTCAACCGCCGAATCCAATATCATTGCCGGAATCTTTAAACGTTTAATTTTACATTGAATGGTTGCGACACTTGTAGCTGGCTCTTTTTTCTGAACAAAATCAATTTCCATAGGATCATCTAATGTTTCCTCTTCTCCGTCCGATTCTGGTATTACTGGAGCTGGATCTCGATAATTTTCAAAATCTGATTTTATATTTGATATACTAATGCCATATCTGGTTTTAATTTGTTCTATTTTATCCGCAGACAGAATTCCATCTAATAATTCTAGCATAATTTCTACGATCCGTTTATCATTGATAATGTTGTTTGGATTCTTTTCTCTCTTGCTAGCATTTTTTTCCTTCCGAGTAGTAGAATACTTAGTATTTGTAGAGCCCAGAATCTTTGACTCATCTATTTTGCGGGATTTAGATTTTTTTCTAGAAGATGCTTTATTCTTTACTTTTTTTTTGTTTTTTTTTTACTTTGGAGATATTAATCTGCATATTCTCGGTTTCAGATAAAGAGTCTTCAGAATCGGATAAAGAGTCGGGTTCAGAGTCGGATTCAGAGTCGGATAAAGAATTAGAATCATTATCAGAAGAGCCACTACTTGAATCGGAAGTTGGATTTACGTTAACCAAATTGACCTTACCTTTCTTTTTGGATTTGTTCTTCGATTTTCTCTTTTTATATTTGGTACAATTCCGGGAATTATGGCCAGTTTTGTTGCAAAGGGAACATCTATGTTGGGACGATTTCCTAACTGCGTGTACTCCTGCCTGAATGCCTTTTGATATAGCCTTATTTATCGATAACTTATTCATACGATTGGCCAATTCATCATCAGAGTCGGTTTCAGCATTCTTCGAACTATTTCCATTATTTTTTATTTGCGGTTTTGGAGGTAAAGGAGGAGCTGGAACAGGAATAAATTCTGGAATTTCTCCATATATCCATTGTAAAAAACTTTCCATATTTCTATCTTGTATATTTTTATACGTTCCAGGAGGTTGTGGTCGGGATTGAGAAGAGGCCGATTGTATAACTGATTCTTTGGGCCGTATTTGTGTTTCCTGGGGTTCTGAAGAAGGAATCATAGATTTTATTAGGTTTTCGATTTCGGACTTACTCATACCTGTATTGCTTGAGTAATTATCTTTTCCACGAGACTCGGACATCGGGAATACCGGAAAAGAAGATTGAGTATGCTCTTGAGCCAATGTATATTTTTCCGCCTCTGCCAATGCTGATGTAATATTTTCCATTGTATCATTAAATTTAGCCATCATACGAATATTATATTGATTCATAGGGGATAATCCACGAATAAATTGTTCTCTCTGTTGCTGAGGAGACATTCCGGCGAGCTTGCCAATCTTTTTTATTTTATTACTAAATTCTTCCACTTGTAACGATCCTTGCATAATCTGACCAAAAACGGCCATTTGTTTTTGCGCCTCTACTGTAGTATAAAAATTCCTAAGTCTATATATTTTTTGACCAAGTTTAATGCCGGGAGCAATCGTAACATTGTTAGGAAATCCTCCACCTGCATTTGGCGCTACTGGCGCATTATTTGTTGGTTCTCCACCTGCTATTGACCAATCTTCATCCCATGTAACATTTGGAATAATATTAATTCCGGCTGCAATTCCTGCGCCAATTCTACCTATTTCTTCGGCTGCCTTACCACGAAATTGATTGGCAGTATTTAAACCGCCTATCTGATTACCACCATTTCCAGCACCCAAAGTTCGAACAGCAGTTAGAGTAGCTACTCCTAAATTATCGGAAAGATTATTACATTTCCAATTTTTACCTTTGATATTAGTTTCATACCAATTCAATGCCGGGCCTTCAAGACATGATTCAAATAAACCATCTGCTTCCGCTCTTCCAGCAACACCGCCCGCGCCTGGTGTAATATTTATTCGAGAAGCTACTACGTATCTCTGAAAATCTCTAAGAAAATCTTCTGGATCTTCTCCAGGATTACCTCTATAAATTGGGGGTCCGTATCCTACCATTCCGATATGTTGGTTATTTATATGTATATTATCCCGAAGCAATAAATTTTCTTGATTTAAAATATTTATTATTCGGTTCTGATCGTTGATATCATCCTCAGCTATTTCGAGTTCATTCACAATGCAATCCCGATTAAATTCCAATAAGCCTCTTTCATTACGGCATTCTAGTAAATCTTGTTCAGCTTTGCGTCGTAATCTAATATTCTGAATATGTATTTGCCTACAACGTGCATGAATATCATCATCTGAAGAAGAACTTCGAATTTCCTCATCATCTGAACTAGAAGAATTCGAGTCATTAAATAGGGGCGGTATATCAATATTAGACGTACCTTCAATAATTATGGAGTTTGATGAATTTCCACTATCCTCATTGTCGCTAGAATGTAATTCCTCTCCAATATCGCCCAAAATATCACTAGTTCTTCTACTATGTCTATGGATTGTATCAAATTTTTGGCGCATACCCCCGGTTAGACTTCCAGTATCGCTAGAATCTGAGTAAAAAGATGAAGAGAAATTTGGTGAATTGGGCATTGGAACTTTAATCGTTAAACCTTTTGCTTCTCGTGTCTTATAGTCCCATTCAGAAAGGTGTTTTTGCATTAACCGTTTTTTTTCTGCCTTTTTCAAGGTATCAAGTCTAAATTTGAGTGCCTTTCTATCATCCCGATTAATCTGGAAAAGTTTTCGATAAAAAAGTTTTTCGCGCAACAATTCACCAACCCGTCTATGTTTATCTTTATATGAGAAATACCAACTCCGACGTACATTCTTTTCATTATAGTAAGCTATGGTCATCAATCTTAAATCATCATCAGACTGGCGTACCATTGAATTTAATCTCATAATAGTTTGGGCATCTTGGTTTATTTGAGTTTGTGATAAATTTGCTCGATTTTTTTCTCTATCAGCTATAGCTTGAAGCTTAGCCACATCTTTTTTAATATCAGTAAATTCTTCCTCAAGATTTTTTGGAAGCCCTGGTATTTTTCGTAATACGTAACTAATATTATTGAATGTATTTTGAATAGATTCACCGATGCTTTGGACCCCATCTATATTAGACATCTGAGCTATGTTTAACTTTTTATATTTTCTAGACGTTAAATCTTGAATCCTATTTTTGAGAGTATTTATTTCTTCTTGAAGATTTGATATTCTATTTTCTAAAATAACCAAAGATTCTTCTTTATGCTCTATATCTACCAATGCCTTCTGTAGACGCTTTTCAAGATTGGAAATAAGGGATTTAAGTTCCTGTATCTCTGATTCAAAGTATACAATAGTAGAATCTTGATGAACAACGGTCCTATTACATTGTTCTAACTCTTTTATTAGATTCCGAATTTTTTTTTCATTTGTATTATTATTATTCACTTCATCAGTTAGTTCTTGCCGTAATTCCTGATTGGTATCTAGCAGTTGTAAATATGCTGGATCAAATTTATAATCCATTTTTTATCCTTAAACTATAGTTACATTGTAAAATGAGATAATTTTTACGCTAACTTATAGCGAAAATGAATAAACCTATTATTAGAGTCGATCCAGATGAGGAGATCGATCTGGTCTGTAGATTGCTTTACTACCAGACAACCGGTTATCATTCCAATTCTCGATTATTATATAGAGATCTCAAGAAAGAAGGATACCAATTTCCATTCAAAAAAGTGCGTGATTGGCTTATGAATCAGAATGAATGGCAGAAACATGCACCGTCACCAAAATATATTCCGCGAGTTAGTTATGGTAAAATTACTTGTCCGAATTATGTACACCAGTGTGACCTCTTACGTCTTACCAATGATATAGTAGGTATAAAAATATATAAATGGGCACTTACTATTGTAGATATCGCCAGTAGATTTAAATACGCTATTCCACTCACTTCTAAAAATAGTTCGGAAGTTGCCAAAGCCTTTAAAAAAATTTATAATAATCCGGATAATCCTCTTATTTGGCCTCGGTTACTACAATGTGATGGAGGGCGCGAATTTATGGGCGAAACTTCAAGATTAATGCAAGAACATAATGTTACAATCCGAGTAATTGGTCTATATTCCCATCGAGGACTCGCAATCGTGGAAAGATTTAATAAAACTCTTGCAGAAATATTGTATAAAGTACAATATGCCGTTGAAACTATATCCTCAAATCCTAAATTAATAAGAGAGTGGGTTAAGTATTTGCCAGAAGTTATTAATTACCTAAATAATTATCCGACACGCCTCATTCGAATTCCAGGTTCATCAAAATGGGGTTTAGCTCCAGCAAAAGCTATCAAACTGAAACGAGTAGAATCTAGGTCATCTACAAAGTATAAGCGTCCAGTTGGAAAAGATGAAAAAAAGTTAAAAAAAGGTGATACAGTTCGTTACTTACTTGCCAACGGAGAATGGGAGGGTGGTATGGAGAATCAGAAAAGAGCCACGGATCCAACATTTTCGCCATCTATTCATAAAATTCGAAAAATAATAGTTTCAAAAAACGAACCTATATTATATTATCTTGAAGGTAATGAATTTACGCCTAAGCGAGGATTTGTAAGGGAGGAATTGTTTTATGTAGATTTAGAAAAGCTTCAATACCCACCCCAAAGTATATTATCGGAAAAGAATCATCCCCGATTAGTTCATTTTATTCTGGTTTTAAATAACGATCTATATCAAGCTTGTACCTATGCTAAGAAACATGGCGGAAGTTGTCTTGAAAAAACCGGTCGAATTAATGATGAGGAAGTTTTTCTCTGGTCATGTGAAAACGGACTCCATCAATGGGAAGCACCTTATAAGACCCAGAAGCGTAAATTTGAGTGGTGCCCATTGTGTCCTCATTTCAAAGAAGAACGTAGATGCCGATATATTTTTGAGGATTTATTAGGTAAAAAGTTTCCACCACGTGCGCCAAAATTTCTAGATGGTTTACGTTTAGATGGATATAATGAAGAATTAAAATTAGCTTGGGAATATGATGGAGTCCAACACTTTAATCGTAATAGTTTATACCATAGAAAAAATGGAGAAGTAGATTTAATAAGCCAGAAAAATCGAGATCAGAAAAAGCGCGAATTATGTAAAAGAGAAGGTATAGATCTTATTGAGATTCCCTACACGGCTGATCCGTTTCCCTATATTAAAAATATATTGGAAGAAAAGGGATATTTAGCTCGTAAAGAATAATTTTTCTGGTATAGATATATAAAGATTATTCACAATTTTACTAAACGAGATGAAGAAAGCTCAGCATCAAAAGCCCAAAAAAACTGAAAAACTTGATCGATGCGAATTATTTCTAGTTGATATCGATGAATACAAAAATCCAGAAAGATTTAATGGATTAAATTCAACCCCCCCAATGGCCTTTCAATATGCTAGTATCTGGACGAACCAGATCAGGAAAAACTTATATGATTGTTAATATTTTGCTTGGAAATAAACCGTATCGAATGTTTAGCGGAAAAAAGGTGGAACGAGGTATATTAAAAACGATGATTTAGTTTTAATCGGACATCATCTTAAGGAGCCAAAATATAAATACCTTCGAAATTGTTATCAAATAATTGCAAATAGTCCAAAACCATATCGTGAAGATATTACATTTCGAGCAATGAAGCCTGATAAAATGCTAAAGGTTGATGATTTTTCTCCAGAAAGAGGAACACTGGCTTTATTCGAAGATGTATGTACCGAACCTAAAAAAATACAAGAAAAAATTGCTCGTTATTTCACTGAGGGGCGTCATAATAATATTAGTAATATATATACAACACAAAGCTTTTTCGATTGTCCAGGATTGATAAGAAAAAATTTGGATTATATCGTTATTTTTAATGGTGCAGGTACATATGATGAATTAGTTAATATTGCCCGACGATATACAAAAAACTGGCGTAATGCTGTTGACATACTCGATAAAAATTTGCAAGGCCGGGAATTTATTGTAATTGATTTAACCAGATCAAAAGAGGATCCTCTATATATACGCAAAGGTTGGGATCATGCTTTGAAATTTAATCAGTAGCATCCGCCTTCATAGACGCGAGAATTTTTTCCGCTTCATCTAATTCTATTTTTTTTTCTTCGATTTCAGAGCGTAATTTCTTATTTGTATTGATCCGCTCCTCGTATTCCTTATCCAATTTCTGCATAAAATTTACAAATATTTCTTGATTGTATTTAAGTATTTGCTGACACAAAATTTCAACTTCTTTACTAACCTGATTTTTAATATCATCTTCACATGCGAAGCAAGGACACTTACGTGTCTGATTACAAATCGGAATAATATCTAAAGTTTGAGTTTCTTTATCCATGCTTTTTTTATAATTGTTTGATAAATTTTCAAATGAAGGCCAACTTTGTCGTTGGAATTTTAATTTTTTCTGGTATCTATCAACCTCGTGATTCAAAAATGATTCTATTAAGGGGTTAACAGTACTAGCATCCTCTTCTGTTATTGGATTTCGCTTTCTAGAAATAAGACGTTTCCAAGCTTCATTTTCTAGTGAAGGAGGTAGTTTCCGGATTAATTCTGAATATGCTTGATTAAATTTTGCCGACATGTTGTAGCTAGTATAATTATATTCAACGTATAGAGAAATAGAAAAATCTTTATGAAAATTATGAAAAATTATGGAAATAATGAAAAATATGAAAATAATCCAAAACCGGAGTTTAAATGTGGTTGAATCATGCTAGAGTCGAGCTTGAGTCGAGCTAGAGACACGCTAAATTTTTTTCTATATAATTATATGTAAAATATCATACTTGTGCTAGAGTTGAGCTAGAATCACGCTAAAAATATAGTAAATCATAATATTAGTCATACTAGCTCCGCTAAAATATAATAAATCATAATATTAAAATATAGTAAATCATAATATTAGCCATGTTAGCTCCGCTAAAATATAGTAAATCATCTTTAACAACCGCTAATTCGATTTTTTAGAAACAAGTTAAAGACAATAAAAAAATATATAAATAAGTTATACATTAATAAATAGATAAATAAGTTATACATTAATAAATAGATAAATAAGTTATACATTAATAAATAGATAAATATTTTATTTCACAAACCATCTATACGTTATTAATCTGACGCATTTCTTCTCGAATGCTCCATAATATTTTATAATGATTAGCTAACTCTGTAGCACAAAGTCCATCAGGGCGATAATAATATTCTATAAATTTTTTCTGTATGATGGTACATGCTCGGATCTTTTTTCCAACCTCCCTTGCACGTTCGATTCTACTGATTGCATTGCACTTCCACAGCTCATAATAATTTAATGCAATGTTATCATCGAAATTACGTTCAGATTCAGGTTTTTGTTTAATTTTCATATACTCTTCATAATTTATTCTACAATATTTATTACCGGTACATGAAAATTTCCAGTGTCTCTCCATTCTTTTAACATACTCTCCAGTATGTACTAATTGGTTACAAGATAAACAAATAACAATTCCTATACAAGGAGCATATGAGTTACCATCTGGAAATTGTATTAATTTTCTCGCTTTAAAATAATCTTTACTCTCATAAGGTAAAAGAAGATTTTCTCTAAAATACTGTAAGCGATCCCAGATTCGTTCTTTCCACTCGCTAGGAGTTTCATTAGTGCGAACTTGTGGCATCCAGCAATATTCAGACCATTCTTCTTCACTACATTTAGAACCACGTAAATCCTGAATAGTATCCATTTTTATATGACTTATTTATCGATTATATGAATATGATTATGTGATTTATAATGTATTTAGGGTTTTAGACCTATTAATTTTATCAAGTATATGTTACTTAAAACGCGATTCATTTTTAGTAAAACGAGAAGATAATCTATAGTTATTATTGATATATGGGAACAAATCGAAAAAAAAAATATATACATACATTAATATGCATAATTTTTAACAAGAATCTAAACCATGTGTAGTTAATCCAATTTTGATATACTTACATATAGTCGCACAAATATATCAACT